GGGGGGGTGTTAAGACATCTTTTGTCTGCCACATACAATGCTGTTTTAGCACCTCTCTCTGAGTGGCCTAACACCTGCTAGCTCCAATAATGCAAATGCAAACAACACCTTACCTCAATGAGGTCTCTGGTTATGATAAACAGACTTTATTGACTGGAGCAACATTCACCATATTTATTCCCAGATAATTTCTGCACAAGTTATTCTGAGTTGAGAAAACTAGTTGGATGACCAGCGAAACTTCTTCAAGAAAAATACAGCAAGTCCAGTTGCTTTGATATATTTTGTACAGATATACCATGACTTGGATGAATGAGAACCTTCACAGACATTTGACCAGAAGAGAAATTTCCCTAAGCACATTCCATTTTCCTCATTTGCACAGCACAGCTTTATATATTGTGTGCAAAACCCCTAAAACTAATAATGGAATTCTAGATAATTCACACAAAGTGAATGTACGTACAGTTTCCCTGGAAGAATAGCTATGAAAATGTTTGATAAATAGACCCCTTAGCGAAAACTGACTGAATCCGGAGAATCGTTCATTCATTCATTTTTGGTTCACTGTCTCATCTGAGTAGGATCTCTCAATACAGGTGAATACAGGTAATGGTGACTCGTGAATCATAAGATTCTATGCAGAATGGACAAATCATAATCATTCGATTAGTAAAACCAGAGATATAGGCAACTGATGTTGCACAGAAATTCCAAATTTTCCTATAAAAGTTGGACTTGGTTCCAGTTCCCAAGCCCCCCTATTGCTCTTTTAATGTGATGAATAACCTTACAAATCTGTAGGGGGGTAAAAGGAGACGAGCAAAGCTTGACTCCCCCATACAATCTTGTTTTGATGCTCCTCTTCCTTTCTGTTCCACAATCTGACTCCATGGCCTCCTCTCTCTCTCTTTATCTCCTCCACAATCCATTCTCACTGATGGGGGTTGAGTAGAGTGATTTCAGTTTATCTGATTTTGCGGTTGCTGAAATTTGCCAGAAGCCAAAATACTCACAGTTTGTTTATTGAGTTAGTTATTAGAAATTTGCTTGGATACAAAAAAGATCTACTTCTTTTTTATTTAGAGCAGCAGTTCTCAAAATATGGCCCACTGCTGGCCACCTACCGGCCCTCACAGAGAGAGAGGCCACTCATGCAAGACCTTCTGTTTGCATGTTTATGCTGCTTTATTCAGAATGCCAGCAGGTGCCAGACACAGGAACCCAGAATGTTCTAGCAACCAGTAATGTACTTAAGGGGCACTTTTGAGTAGAGTGCTCATCTGTCCACCAATGTCTACATAGTTCTGGCTATGACATTATCTAATCAGTAGAGAAGCAATTTGGGACAATTGGGAGCCTAGACAAAGGTAAGTGCACCTGAACATCAGTGCTGGGAGGCTTGCTGAATCCCACTTAAACCAACGATGGGGCACTATTCCTCCCACAGACACCAACAATGGGGCACTATTCCTCCCACTGACACCAACAATGGGGCACTATTCCTTCCACTGACACCAACAATGGGGCACTATTCCTCCAACTGACACCAACAATGGGGCACTATTCCTCCCACTGGCACCAACAATGGGGCACTATTCCTCCCACTGACACCAACAATGGGGCACTATTCCTTCCACTGACACCAACAATGGGGCACTATTCCTCCAACTGACACCAACAATGGGGCACTATTCCTCCCACTGACACAAACAATTGGGCACTATCCCTCCAACTTACACCAACAATGGGGCACTATTCCTCCAACTGACACCAACAACGGGGCACTATTCCTCCCACTGACACAAACAATTGGGCACTATCCCTCCAACTTACACCAACAATGGGGCACTATTCCTCCCACTGACACAAACAATTGGGCACTATCCCTCCAACTTACACCAACAATGGGGCACTATTCCTCCCACTGACACCAACAATGGGGCACTATTCCTTCCACTGACACCAACAATGGGGCACTATTCCTCCCACTGATATCAATAATGGGGCACTATTCCTCCAACTGACACCAACAATGGGGCACTTTTCCTCCACTGACTGAATATCCCTCTAACACTAATACATTAGAGTGTAAGCTCCTCTGAGGCACAAACTAGTGTGGAAGGTTCTGTGTAAAACTCTGCTTAATATGTCATCGCTAGGCAAACAATGGAAATAAAAGAAACTTACCTTTATTCTTTTTCTATTTATTATTTTTTACAGGCTATTAATACTATTTACCTCAAAATGTCTAACTCTACCCAGCTTGACATCTCCACCACCAGTGTGAAAAATGAGACAATTAATGAAATAATACGGGTGGTTGTCATTGTCCTCATTTTATTCCTTTTTGGGATTTTTATTTACTTCATGGGCGTCATACTGAAGGTCTTCTTTGCCGCTCCTCATGTACAAGAGAACTCCCGCTACATCTTGTTCATTCACATGCTGGTAAATGATTTGATATACATTGCTATCTCTGTTCTACTTACATTTGGAGTAGCATATTTCATATATTGGCCCTTGCCGCTCTGTTTCTTGGTCATCAGCATATGCACCTGCTCATTTAGAGTGACTCCATACAACTTGGCATTCATGTCTTTGGAACGTTATGCCGCCATTTGCCACCCGCTAAGGCATGCTGAACTATGTAATGTGCAAAGGTCACGAGTGGCTGTGGTGGCCATGTGGGTTGTGGGAATGCTGCCCGAGATTGCAAGTTTTATTATTTTCTGTTTTACAGCAGAAAAAGGGACATTTTCTGTCAATGTCATCTGCAATTGGCCATCATTAACCATCATTGAAGCACAAGCCAAACTGAAAATAGCTGCGGAGGTTGCCAGTTTTCTGTTGGTGGGGGGGACTATCAGCTGGACGTACATCAAGGTCATAATGGTGGCTCAGAAGGCTAGTTCAGGATTATATGCTTCCAAGGCTGGGAAAACTGTCTTGCTCCATGCATTCCAGCTCGTCTTGTGTATGCTGGCCCTTACCTATGGATTTACAGAAAAATATTTGAAGCAATACTTTTATTTGCTTCCCCTGACTAACTTTTTTGCATTAATGTGTCTTCCTAGACTTATCAGTCCCTTAATTTATGGTATTAGAGATGAGGTGTTTAGCAAGCACATGACCAAGCTGTGTCGATCAAAACAGTCCCCATCATTATAGTTAAAAAGGAGAAGATTGTGGCACATTTGCTCCCAGAGAGGACGCTAAAGACCCTCTCTCCCTGCCTTCAGGCTTCATGTATGGCATGGAGGGTTTTACTCCTTCCTCGTCATACATCGGATCCACTGCGCGCCATTCCATCTCCAATAGAAGCCCTTAGAGTCTTAATTCCCTCCTTGTCCCTACAAGACTGGACATCTAGAGGGGTCCGTTATGTACAAGACTTGACAACCGACAATAAAATGCGGCCCTTCTCCACTCTGTCATCCGCCTATGGCCTTCCCTCCGGATGCTTTCTCCAATACCTACAGATTAAGCACGCACTGCGATCCAACCCTCAGATGCTTTGCAACATACCGTATCCAGCATGGAGATTCTATATTGAGAATTCACCCAAAAAGGGGGGAATATCACTATTTTACTCTCTGCTGTACAATAAAACGTCTTTTGTTAAGGTTAGACCCTATGTAATATGGGAGCAAGACCTCAATCACACTTACTCAGCAGACCAGTGGCTACAGGCATTCTCCTATACGCTTAAGACCACCAGATGCGTGGAACTTTGGGATCTACATTACAAAATATCTTTGCAATGGTATTATACGCCACATAGGCTGGCCAGGATGTTTGCATTTTCCTCCTCTCTGTGCTGGAGAGGATGTGGGCTAATTGGCACCCTACATCACTTTATGTGGGAATGCAAATGCTTGACAAGCTTCTGGAGGGCGATATTCCAGAAAATAGCAACTATTACGGGCGTGCTGATGGGCCCATCTCCTGGTATGGCAGTCCTGTCCCTGGGTATTGACCGCATTACGGCACAATATTGACGGTACATATCATTTTGGCGGCTAGACTTACCATTGTCAGGAAGTGGAAAAGCACCATAACCCCCTCGGTTAGTGAAACCCTATCCATAGTGAAGCTTCACTACCATTATGAGAGAATCATAGCCTACAAAGAAGGGTCATTAACCAAATTTGACAAAAAGTGGCTTCCATGGGTGCAATGGACCACCAAGATTGTATCAGCCTCTGGAAAGGGACAAGGCGGGAAAACGATGGATTCTACCTAATTAGAAGTTAGGAAGGTAGGACCATGTTCCATACTCAGATGAATCAGTAGGCTTGATACAAAACATAGACTTGTTCCACATATTTGGGTTAATAATCTACACAATGTTCCAATTGATCACATATTGATTGCTTTTTCTTGCAAAAAAAGAGAAAACTGTTATATTATTGCTATTGTTTCATGTTGTACTTCTTTGTGACTGTTTACTTTGTCTTCTACATATGAAAATCTCAATAAAAATTTATTGATTTAAAAAAAGGAGAAGATTGCCCAATAACACAGATATTTGTCAAATGTGATAGTTAACTCATTGGCCCAACATGATGGGAACATTGATCATGAGTTGTTTGTATTGAATGCAAGTGCACACACATGATACCAGGTCTGGTAGGTAATGTCAATGACCATTGGTGACCAGTACTACACATGGAAAGGTTTTATTTCTAATTGGGATGTTCTCTTCTTTTCCAAGCCTGTCCTATTATGGACACTGGTAATTCCACATGTCCAAACAACAGTGAGTAACGTGGAAAAACAAAATATATAAGCAGAAGCTAAATGGAAAATGGAATAGAAATTGGCCCCGTACTTAGCAAGGCAGCTCAACAAACAGTTACAATCTATTTCAGCTCTTATAAAAGTCTACATAATTTCGAGCTGCAATAGATATTAAAGTGGACCCCACACCCCCAGCTAAAAATCGTGGAGATCTGCATGCTAAAGTAAAGAAAACTTTGTTTTTCTAAACCAACATGTACATGCTACTATAGTGAGGTACTGCCCCCTGGGAAGACTATGTCACCAGTGCCTTTCAGGGAGATCTCATGTTTAACTGTAAGAACTTGGGGGGAGGGGTTAACTTTTTTGGATGAGTGTAATGCCACACGGCGTTTGAAGCTTACGAGATAAGCTTCAAACATCATCATGCGCTTTACCTCGCACATGCGCCATACACTCATCTATTTAAAAAAAGCCTTGAAGTGACATTAAACCCTCAGATTTATTAACATAAACCAATACTGTAATGTGCGCCTTACTGTCATCCATGGTAGTTTCCCTTCTCTTTGCTGCTCTTCCTTTTAAATCCTTATCTCTTCTCATGCTGGGCAGAACTTCTGTTTTGCAGCAGACTGCCTTGTCTCTGAAATGGATACATGGTGTCTGTGTGCAGGTTCACAACCTGAGCCAGCAATACAGGAAGAGGCACTCAGCTGCAAAGGGAAGTTCTCCCCCAGCATGAGAAGAGATACAGATTTAAAAGGAAGAGCAGCAAAGAGAAGGGAAAATACCATGGATTACAGTAAGGCGCACATTACAGTATTGGTTTATGTTAAAAAAATCTGAGGGTTTAATGTCACTTTAACCCCTGAGATTAGGGATGCACCGATACCAGTTCAGAGACCAGTGCCGATACTTGGCATTTTTATGAGAACTACCAGGGTTGCAGCGGTTGCAGCTGGGACCTGGCTCTGGAGCTCCACCACTGTCCTGAAATCATTAGTCTGTATTGTTTTAGAAAAGCTGTCACATGACAATAAACAAAAATGTATCAGTACTCGTATCTGTGAGGACTTGGACAAGTATCAGTACTTGCAAAAATGGTATCGGTGCATCACTTTATAGATGTTTATAAAAATAAAATTAAACATTAAAACAGAGATGTGCAAATCCCAGGAGCTCCGTGTGCTCCTTACACATGACAGCGGCCTCCTAACTTTTGAATTTTTCTCTAGTCTAGTCTTGGAGCTGGAAAAGTATCTGTACTGTACTTATTACAGTACTTGGTATCGGTGCATCCCTACCTGAGATCTTACAAGATCTCATGGGAAAGGCTATTTTTTTCAGTAGAGTGTAATGTGGTGTGGTCTACGCACGGGATGAGGCACAAAGGTCATTGGTTGGCTGCCTGAGAATAAGAAAGAAGAAGCTGGTTACAGGTGATATATTTATTTTTTTTGGGGTGGTCCGGGCATATCATCAGCAGTGGACACAGAGCGCTGAGACTGAGGAGACAGTTCAAGACGGAGGCAGGCAAAGACTACTAGCTTTATTAGATTTAGTAAATCATCTGGCATTTTTTAGAACGCCAGCAATGGCAGGCCTCATACTCCTTTCACGACAAAGTCACTTTAAGTGTAGGCACAGATTCACCAGCTCTCACAGGCAGGGCCCTCCTTACCATCTTGTCTTTGTTTGTATTGTGATTGTAATGTCTTCCTTATATTGTACAGCGCTGCACAAACTGTTGGCGCTATATAAATCCTGTATAATAATAATAATTATTGTTTAGAACGTAGTAGAGCAAAATATAAGGTAGAAAGTGCATTTATTATTGTGTATGCTAATCAATGCAAAGTCACTGTTTTAAAACCTGTTTTGAAACCTTATTTATTCAGGGAATAAATAAAATAAATAACAACGCCCCTTCAGCTGATGCAGAAAATCACATCCGTTTTACTAGGAGATGATATCATACAGAGGAAAACGTATTTTAATCCATGGTCGAGTTACCTTCCTCCATGCTGGTTCCCATAGTAACAACCAGTCCAACGAAGCCTCTTTACTTGATGGTCTCCGACTAGTCTTGTGTCCCCGCTCGTCTCGCCAATGTCATCATGTGCAATGCAGGAGAAGCGGTCACCCCTGGCCTATGTGATGATGGTGGAATGCCCGTCCACATTCCAGCCCTGGAATACAATGGCGAACTACATTCATAAAATATGCAAGCTTTAAACAAAATGTACATTTACCTTTCGCCCTGCCTTCTACTATTCCGTTTTTTTGGGAAACTTTACTTTTGTTAAAAATTCTGATACAAGAGACATTTTGTAATATAAGGTAATAAAAATATAAGTTTACCTTCGTGTGAGACATAAGTCTCCCTTTTGTCAAAGCTGAATGTGATTTGCTGCATCTACGTCAATAAACAGACGCATTTAATTTACATTTGGAGTGCCGGTGTCCATACTTCCCTTTGGCAAAGATAACGCACCCGGACACGTATCCGTACTTGGTAAAAAGTGAGTGCAGTGACATGGCTAAAAATAAAGATTTTCACATCCTTGAGTGAAATCTTTGTAAACTGAGCCTATTGCACTCTAAAAATTCCCTCTACCCCTAAGGGAAATATCACAACTTCTTTCTAGTCTGAATAAAAAAACATCATATCTCCCCTTACAGACCCATAGCCTTCATTAAAATGTTTATATTGCCAGAACCCCCTTTATCTTCTTGAGACCTGTCAAAGACCCAGCCAAAGTCCCACGTGGTTCATTGAAGAGAATTTAAAGAGACTTCAGATCAGTGGCATCACAGAGGGGGTGCAGGGGGTGTGGCCCGCACACGGGTGACACCAATGGAGGGGTAACACCAAAATGACTGACAGTCATTTTGCTGTCACCCCCTCTGAAAAGTCGGACACTCGGTCATGGGCTGAGAGCCTGACAGGAGAGAGGAGGGGACCCGGTGGCATACCATATCCCGCTGGAGTGAACATCCCCTATTCTCTCTGCCGGCTTTCATCACCAAGATGGCCGCCGGCAGGTATCACAAAGATGTCCACGCATGCGCGATGACGTCATCACACACGCACGTGTTGACGTCACACGCATGCGCAATTATATCACAGCGGGGTGTCAACCGGTATCCGCTCCGGGTGACACCCGGCCTCAGTACGCCCCTGCTTCAGATTATAGTCAGATCACCTGATTATAACACAGCATGGCTGTCCAAAGACAGGTCCATGAAGACATTGTTTGAAGGGTCAGGTTTGTAGGAACCTGAGTGACCTACATAGATTCCTGTCCTCAACCCTACTGAACACTTTTGGGATTGGTGACCTGACCTCACAAATGTTCTTTTGGCTAAATGGCCATAAAATTCCCACAAACACACCCCAGAATCTTGTGGAAAGTCTTCCCAAAGGA